ACAATCCCCAGGACATAGTCAACAAGCTATCAAGGTATTATGAGTCCCTCTACCAGTTAGACAGGGATCATGACACTCACCAACCAACTAAAATGGAGATAGAGTTGACCTGCCGTGTCTGTCCCGAGCACAATGCTCCTCTATGGAAGAACCCTTCTCAGAGGAGGAAATAGAAGAGGCCATCAAGACCCTACCCAAACACAAAGCCCCTGGCCCGGATGGCTTATCAAAATTTTATTATATAAAACTATCACCACACTTGATCACCCCTCTCACCAGACTTTTTAACACCATAAAAGAATCAGGGATAATGCCCAAAGAAATGCTGGAAGCTTTCATTGTGGCACTACCCAAACCAAACAAACCTCCCACCCACTGCGCCAATCTACGCCCGATTTCCCTACTAAATGCAGACACCAAACTGTACGCCAAACTGATAGCAACGAGACTCAAAAAAATACTCCCAGACCTCATCTCCATAGAACAGGCAGGGTTCGTACCAGGGAGACAGGTGGGGGACAGTACCCGACACTTTTTGAATCTAATAGACTGGGCGAATTTATCGTCTCAGACCGGCCTGATATTGGCGCTGGACGCTGAAAAGGCTTTTGATCACCTACACTGTTATTACATGACACAGACACTAACTAGAATGGGATTCTCCCCGAAAGTACTGTCAAGCATTCTTGCCCTATACCGGCAACCAACAGTCAGAGTGTTTAGCACAGGCTTCATATCCAACCAAATAGTGATAAGAAATGGTACACGGCAGGGATGCCCCCTTTCGCCCCTCATTTTCATTCTGAGCCTGGAACCCCTGATTCGTCTCATTAAACACAACCCGGCGATACAGGGACTCCATACACCGGGGTTAATAAGAAACTGGCATTATTTGTGGACAATGTTTTAGTTTTTATAACGCATCCAGAATCCTTCCTACCATAACTGCTGAACAGACTCGACACATATAGGCAGGTATCTTACTACAGAAATAACACAATGAAGACACAAGCATTACCTATCAATTTGCCGAGCGCTATCGTCACAACCTTAAAAGCACAACATACCTTTGACTGGCGCAAAACCTCCTTACAATATCTAGGGATTAAGGTCACGAAATCCACCCAAGCCATTATACGGGAAAACCACTACCCAGTCATACAATAACTCAGAGTCACACTCGAGAAATGGGAAGGACTTGAGGTGTCCTGGTTAGGCCGCATCAACCTTTTTAAAATGATGGCACTGCTGCATATACTGTACCTGTTTAGAACCCTGCCCATCGCTCTCCCTAACAAACTACTAAAACTTTTTCAAAGCACAATAAACGCACATGTGTGGAAGCGGAAACCCCCGAGAGTGGCAAGGGGTACTCTGGGGCTCCCATGTACAGGTGGGGGATTGGGTATGCCAGATGTCAAGGCTTATTATAAGGCATCCGCCCTGGCGCAGGGAATTAGGCTCCTACGCCCCACAAGCACCCTCCAAAGACCCATCTGGTTAGCAATGGAGAGTGCCTGCCTAAACACTCACGATATGACATGACACCTATGGGCAGGGGGGAACGCCCAAGCTGCAGCAGGAAAACAGCTGCAGAGCTCAAGGTTTTTACTGAGGGCCTGGAATAACTGGAGCCCACAAATAGTGGATCCCAAATCGCTCTTCCAAGCAGCACCCCTGGCAACACTAGAAACATTCTCTCCTGACCTGCTGGTGACTCGATGGAGGGAGGGGGGTGCATGCCGGGTCCAGGACATCTTAGAGGGGGACAAAATGAAGCAATTCCCCGTCCTGCAAAGGGACCTACAGTTGCCAGCGAGGGATATCTTCCTATTCCTCCGAATAAAAAACACTGTACTAGCCACCCCTCAAAACCACACATAACGCTAAAACAGGTACTCTCCCACAGGCACATAAAACCACTGTCAGCATGCTATAATGCGCTGGTCACCTCGTCGGCTCCTGATAAGCCGTCATACATGATTCAGTGGGAGGAGGACCTGGGACTCCAGATCCTCACAACAGAGTGGCTGACGGCCCTGGCAACCACGAAACGGGCATCGCAAAGTCTCGCACTCTGGGAAGCTTATTGCAAGGTACAAATGAGGTGGTATCTGGTACCACACAGACTGGCACGCATGTACCTGGGCACGTCCGGGAAATGCTGGAGGTGCAACACAAAAGAGGGAACTATACTTCATATTTTCTGGGCATGCCCCCTACTAGTAGACTATTGGAAAAAGGTTCACTCTCTCCTACTGAGCAGGACAGGTTTCATTCTCCCCATGAACAGGGGTCATAGGGTCATACATAGGGTCAAACCAACAAATGTATAACGTGTTGTCTAGGGCACCCCCAACCCCTCCCTTTTTCCTTCCGTAACCCCCCTCCAACCCCGAGTTAAATGTTACAAAACTAAAAGCAATGCGGATAGCTTATCAGATGTGCACCACAAAGCAGCGGTTCCTACTAACACCAAATTAGCACGAAACACGAACAGGACACGAGTCACACTACACAATACAATTGTTTCTCATTGTGAGAAGACCAAAGAGCACAAACTCTTGGAGAGTAGCCACAGCGATTCCAGGCTCGCATAAGGAATATGTTGGACTAATCCTCTGGGAAATGGTATCCACAGCTGCGACTGTGATAGGTATTGCATGTCAATAATGCACTGCGTTGCACAATGTCTGAACATTTGCTTTGCATCAATAAAAAGATAAATGAGAAAAAAAAAACCCCGGTCACTAAAGGGGGTCACCTTTGCACAGGGCTGTGCACAGAAGAATTCCCAAGGGAGAGAGGCTGAATTCCCTTGAGGCAGAAGGTAACAATCCTCAGGTCAGCCAAAAAGAAAAATTCTCTAGTCTTAGAATGATTGTCTGTCCTAGGGAGAGGACAGGAACAAAAAGACTGAGGCTGGGAGGGGTTACTTATACCTTCTGTTTAAATTAGGTTCCTGTCTGGTTAGGGATGGGGAGGAACTACCCATTGTTGTGCTGCCATGGGTATGGCCAGGAAAATTAAATATCTACTATTAGAAAGGTAAATCTGAATAGGGGAGCAAGATGATGTATGGTTGATGAATAGATGGATGAATGTATATAAATTACAGAAGAAACTAAAAAAATGTTTGACAGACATGAAACACTGCCAGAGGTCGGATGGAGGAGGATGGGAAGAGACAGGAGGGGTCAGTATAGGTCAGGATATCACTTTGGATATTATCTATGACCGTAAAAAGATTAACTTCTCCACAGAAAAAATAGGATGCTTATATAGTATGTAAAATACAATACACAAGTGGAATTCCTAAAAGTGAATAAAGTGCTGGTGCTACAATCACCTTAGTGGGCCACAATAACCACTAAACAGATAGAAGTGATTTAGTTAACAGAAAGAATGGTGGGAGCACTCAAAGAGATTAAAATATTACCCAAAATGTAGTAAACCTCTGAAATTAAACAGAAAACAACATAGGGTAATAACGTTATGACACTTTTTTAAAATTCTGTGTTAGTCTCACTCACATACGTGGAGCCACTTATAAAGCTGGCTCGGACTACATGCCTTGAGCAAATCACTGCTTGGACTTTAGCTGGGTTCTTCCCAAAACTTGATCTGATGTGCCACCAGGAATGCAGGTTCAGGGGGTTACACAATTCTTTATTGCTCCAAAATTCAATAAAAATCACAAAAGATTTAAAATAAATAAAATTATAGGAAAGTCCCATAAGCTAGTCCAAAATAGTGCACCTGACGCGTTTTGGTGATGTGCCTTCTGCGGAGGTGATACAAGTGACTCTGGCGTGCAGTCTTTTTAAATCCGTTCATGGCGCCCTTTTCGCCGCATTCGCGGCACTTCATTTCCAAGTTTGACGTCAGGACGCGTCCTGCGTCATCATGTCAGGACGTCTCTCTTTACTTCCGGTTGCCAAGACGTGTTAGAACCGTCATAATAAAAAGTCCAATCTTGTGGAATATAAATGTAAAAATCCACAGCAAATGAAGAGAATATCAACAAGATAAATATTTAACATATCGGACTACTATATAACAATATTAAAATACATTTAAAAACATACACTTTGTGCCTACGATATTCTAACTTATGTTTTTGCTTAAAACATTAATTCTAATTTTATATTATAATGGAGAAATGAGATATAAAATCATACATATATTAAATGGAGATTCAACCAGGATTAGGGAACATGTGTATAATATACAGCGTAAATTCATCAATCATAGTGTATCCAAACATTTTTTAGAAGCCCATAATGGAGATCCAAAAGGCATAGAATTTATAGGGATAGACCAGGTTAAAGTCCACTGGAGAGGTGGTGACAAGGATCATATCCTAGGTCTAGCTGAAATGAAATGGATGTTTGAACTAGAAATGATGACACCAGGTGGATTGAACGTTGACTTTGAAATTAATAAATATGTATAAAGGCCTATACTTAATTTAAAAAAATATTTTTTGTTTTTTTCTGATTCTTAAGAGGTTAGTGTAATGTATAGTGGTT